AGACTGCGCAGATATTGGCAAGGTCTTGTTGGTACCATGTGGTCTGAGAGTGACAGGGCCTTTCCGTGTTTGTGTATGCAATGAAGAGGATTTGGTCTTTATAACATTACTGAGATGCCGGAGAAGTAGCACTAGAGTGGCTCATTTGCAGGCAGTATTCTTGTCACGTTTTATCGTCAATGTCACTTTGCTGTAAGGACATTTTTGCGTTCGAGGGCGACATTGATTTCTGATTCCCCGTTGCGGTTTGCTCCGAAACACCCTCCCATATAGTGGAATTACTGTTCAGTCATTTGCGGACGCACTCAAGGAGCTTCCCTCTCATTTGCGTCACGGCCTGTAAGGTGAGATAAGGGGTTTCTTTGCTTGTGAGGTGTGAAACTATATCCTGTTCTTTAGGTCGCCCACGGGGGCAGATTTGATGATTGACCAGCTTGCCGATTCCACATGATTTCCAGTTATGGTTTAATAACAAGTGTGTTGTGCAAGGAGCAGGGGCGTTTATGAAGTATATCGCTACTTTCACAAGATATCCCAGGATACGACGGCATGGTCACTCTTTTTCAGTGGCGAGCTGCTGGTAATCTTGCCTATGACACCAGTGTTAAAGTTTGATGGGCGCTGTTCGAAATTACATTTTGTGGGTTAGGGGCAATGTCGGTGATAGGGTCGTCTTGAAGTATGAAAGCTTCGCTTTCACGTTTAATAACCATCGCAAAAGGCCAGGTAAAATCATCAGTTTCATCTGGCGGTAATGGAGAGCGGTGTACGAGTTTAGTAGATAATCAAACCGACCTCATGATATGTGGGGTGAGCTGAATTGCACTCGTAAAATTCAGATGACTGAAGACCATGTGGGCTGCCAAGAAGCCGGAGATGGCTCAATGAACAAGGCTCAAAGATACTGATCGCAATTTTTTGGTTCGAACACAACCTCATTAACTCAGCTGCTTCTGCTAGGCTTGGGCAGCTTGATAGTTTCAAGATGTTGGTGCAATCGCATCCTAGAATGACTTCACTTGCATGTTTCGTGGAGGTTTGATGTGGTGTAGGTGCCGTCTGGGGATAGGCCTAATAAAACGTTCAATAGTCGATCCTCGATTCCTGGGGTGGCAGGTAGCTCAAAGACGCTAAAGACGAAGCGTTAAGTTGTGAGTATTAGGACCAAGCACAGAGATATATGCAGTCACGCTTGGGATATTCGGCTTTTAAAGGTACGGTGGTAGAACCTAAAAGCAATCCGAGAATTAAGTAAGTGAAGTAGTAGGAGTTCCAGCTAAATAAGGACAAACCGTGATTATAGAGGCGTGGAACGGGAATGCTATTTCCCTTCAGTCCCAGCAGTGTTGGACAAAGGATGTTAGTGGCATCTGGTCCATTTTTGGAATTGAAAGCCTGCTGCTGGAGTTATCAAATGTTTCTCTGAATGAGGGGGTCACAGGAAGTTGAGTTAAGCTGGTGAGTATGACAAGTATTAAGCGTGGGGCCGAGGGGTTACTTCGGAAAAATGAGTTTTTGGGTATGAAGGGCTCTAGAATGGCTTTAGCATGTTCTCAGTATTTGTCAGGAATGTATCAGGTTGGGGAGTATCAAGTCAGAACTTTGGTATCAGCCAAACAATGCTCCGGTGCTGGTGAAAAGAGAGTGCCCATCATTTTGAGGAGTTCAAACGATATCGCTTTCGACCTTCATCAGCAGGCTTTTAGCTCTCGAGATGCTGGAAATGGGTCTTTCTGAAGGTCTAGTAATTTATATCACGGAGAGCTTTGCCGACGCCTCTAACGATGACCTAGATATCCTCCAATGTGTCAATAAACTAAACGAGGCACTGGCCGGTGTGGAGGTTTAATTGCGAGTTGTGTTGCGCAACGCACATCCTGCATCGTTCATTATCAAAAAAGACCCCGGCAATGGTTTGCCTATAGCGTGAGGCCACACTTACCTGGGGAGCGAGAAGAACGCCCCCTCAAGCCCGATGGTCTGAACAAGCCACCAATGCGTTTCCATTTCGCTGGAAGTGGTTTGCGTCGGAGGAAGCGCTTAGGATGGATCACTCAGTTAGACCTTTATAGAGTTTTGGCGTTACTCAGCCCATATTAAGCTCACACTAATTTGATGGAGGCTGGGAAGAACGCCTGACATATTGGGTTTCGCGTCGCAGGAAAATTTTTGAAAGCTGTGCACCTTATGGACATAGGGGGCGGCTGTCGGGACGTGCAAACTTGGGTTCAAATTAAAAGAAACAAAGTCTCCGCGTCGATGCAGAGATAAAGGTGTAATATAGAGAGAACGAATATGACAACTCTGCCACCGAGCGTCATCAGAAGAAGGTTGTCGCCATTTTTAAAGCGCCCATATTTTCAAAAATTTCTCACACGAAAACCCTGCGCCTTGGTGGAAAAGAAGGATGAAAATACCGCGAGAGATGTAGAGAATCCCTGATGTCTTTTAAAGTCAGCGGTATCCGTAAAAAATACATGAATCACTGGGCTTAACGGCGGGTCGCCAACATCTTGGAGCGAACGCAAAGAGGATATTTTAGATTTGGGCTACCAAATTATACTGAACAAAAGTAGCGATTGCAGTTGTATTCAGGCCGTGTCCCTTCTCTGACGGATGAATGCCGACGTTTGGAAGTGAAGAGATTGGTCTTCACATGCCATGATAAAGTCAGCAGATGACTTGAGCCTCATTTGGCAAGTTCAGAATAAGGATTCACTCTTGATGCTTCCGTTCTCCTCCTGAATGTTTTAAACAAAAACGCGGGACGTTTTGATCATAAAACAAGAAGTTCGAAAATTTAGGTGTACCCTGGTGCGGCCACCACTGGTCCGATTTCGTTCCCAAACTTCGTAAGCGGCGTGAGGAGAAGCTCGAAATTTGCATACATTTTGATAATTTTAATAAATCCATTGAGGAATCCGGAGCGAACTTTTGGGCATGCGCCAGTGGTATTCAAAATATGACTGGCGCCTGATTCCCCCAAAACATTTCCGCTCGGTAGGCAAACCGAAAGTCACGCCTGACCACTTGCTCATGTGTACCCACCAGGTCAAATATATTGAAAATCAGACTACTTCTGATGTGTCTTAGCGAACGGTGTCAGACTGCTAGCACCAAGTCAGGTTGAGAGCCCGTTCAGCTCCACAAAGCGGGTTCCACTGGATACTCAGTGAAGGATACAAACACTTGCATATTCTTTCAGGGTTGCCACATAGTATCCGTCCAGTTTTAAACGCTTACATTCTGCGTCAGTGGTTAACACTCAACATGACATCAATCCATGTCGGGAATAAAGAAGACCCCTTCGCTTCAAAAGACCGTATAGGTATTGTTGCACAATGGCTTAAATAATGGCAACCCCTAATAAGAGCCAGTGAACCCACCTGTTTTCCTGTTGGTATTGGTTTGTGATTTTGCTCATAGAGGCAGGCGGAAGGAATCTTGTAGTATCGATCTTAAATTAGCGCCACACTACATCCCACCAGGAGTGAATTTTTGCGTCAACTTGAGATGCGTTTGAAACAATTAGACAATCAGATACTAGGAGAGGTTAAAAAATCTCAGCGCAAAATGCTTAACAAATTTTTGCCTACTTGTGGACTGTGGAGAGGCCGTGGCCTTTTTGCGTACCCGGGGGGAAGTATTTCAGATCGGCTGCGCGAATAACGAACTGAAGGGTACTTATGCTAACAGGTTAGAATCCCAGACCTAGGTTCCTCAGAGCTATCGCGTAGCCTGGACAGATCCAGTTAGTTTCTGTCACATCTCCCTTAGTTACACAAAAGCTGAATTCTCTGGAACAACGCAACAATATTTGGCGTATTGGAGATCGTTTAAGGCCCGGCAACTGTCTACTTGCTCGCTGTCCGCGAAACTCAGACTATCGAACATGGTCATCAGTCTCCGGAACTTGCAGCTTTCTGTTTTGTCGGGAGGAGAAAGTGTGGGCGCTGTCTGCAAGTTGTGGTAAGGATCTGTGAACAAACTGATCTAAGAGATATACCTGTGCCACTCAAGTGATCAAATGGCTGAAGCTACCAATTGGCACTTTATCAGCTTGGCTTTCTTAAGGGCCACCTTCCCATAGACCTCACATGCTTTTTGGACGAGGTGACTGATTGTCCCCAACTGGTACCACAGTAAAAGGAGACTTTTTAAATCATCGGCTTAACAGTGCTCGGGAAGCGCTCCTGATAACGATGGTTAACGTGGATTCAGTTGCAATACTCTGTCATGGACTTGGTTAACGTGGTGTTTAATTGGGCGGGACTTCGTCAACTTGCCATTTGAACGATGGATTCCGACGATGGGTAGTGGCGTAGAGGGGTGAGGGCGAAAAATGAAAGCTTTTTGGGCACTACGTAAAGCATCTCAATAACACGACCGAAAGAATGGGAAGCTATTGAACAGAAGTGAGAAGGCTGTGGACGGAACTTTGACAATTAGAGTGAATCCACACGTATGTTTCTGGTTCTGAATCAATAGTTGCCACCATCAACAGCGGAAAACGGAAAGTGGTTTGGAATTTGTTGGGTTTACTGGCTGCCTATTGTGCGATAGTTGGTCCAGCAAGCCGACTAGCGAATTCCGTGAAAATGTCAACGGCTAAATGATCAACAGCTAACTGATTTGAAAGTTCCTTCAATCGTCGGAACATCCAGGGCTAAATCTGCAGCCTTCAGTGGGAGGATTTGGACGACTGTTTTTTTTGTCCACAAATCTAATGCCTTTATCCTACCCTGAACTGAAGGACTTATTCCGCATAGATGTACAGGCCTAAATAAACGGTTCATATTTGAAACAGGAATAAATTAGAACCAATTTTTCGCGTCCAACGACAATGGCGAATTTAAGCTATGGTCATAAGTTTCTAAAGTTTCTGTTGATTGCGCTGAATTTTCTTGCAGTCGTAGGTTATCTTTTACTTAAAAATTTTGTAGCGAACAAAATTTCCGTAGTGCTGCGGAATAGCATTATTAGTTGTTGGAATTCTAGCTCTGATGAATCTGAGAAAGTTTCTTGGAACGGAGAATGCGGAGTTCCAGGCACTCATTTATTTTATAATTGCGCTTGGGTGTTTCTTATCAATCCTTGGCACTTTGGGTTTTTGTGGTGCATGCAGGGAGAATAAATGCTGTCTTGTCTTGGTGAGTATTGTATAATCTGTTTTTGAAATTTTAGTACATGTTCTTGCTCGCGATATTTATAATTGCTGGAGTGGGCGTGGGAATCGCTGCGTTCGTTTTCGGGGATAAGGTTCAAAATTATGTGTCATCCATAACTAGTCAAGCCTATGAATTTTATGGCAAAGAATCTTCGCACTATGACAACTTCATCAACCTGGTACAGAGGGAGGTAATTTTTACTATTATTCCATAGAAAAGCATTTTCAGTTACAATGTTGCGGTGCGAACGGTACATGGGATACCACTAAAAGTGGACCTATTCCTGATTCATGTAGAAATCCGAATGGCGACGTCTATAACTCGGTAAGTTTTCAAACATACCAAGAGGTTGTTGGTTTCAGAAAAGAACAGTATTCTGCTAGTATTATGCTCATTTAATCTTGAAACGGAACATCTGTGCGGTGCCTTTTCACAGCAGAAAACGGACTTGAGCGATAAGGGAAAGGAAACCTCATGTTCGGCACAATGGAATTTCTAGTGAACAGAGCAAATTACTAATGTAAGCTAGGTACAAAGTAACAAGGAGAAAAATCCAAGTGAATCTTGACTCACAGTTCAAAATAGGAGATTCCATAGTTGCGTATTCCGTTGAACCACCGCACCAAGAATATTTCTATCTTCCTGGTATCCCGGATCCCCGGTGGTCGAAATATTATTCCACAAGCGTGAATATATTAGCCCAGTGTTTGCAGCTGAAATGTTGTTCACGTTTAGTGTTAGCAGCGGTCAAATATAGCCAACCGGCAGTCACAACAACAGTCACTCAGCAAAAGTCTCAAAGTCACGTTGGAGCCAACGAGCGGGTGGTAGCGGTTGTATTTCAGTAAAACAAACCTTTGTACAGCGATGTAACTGATAATGGTGGAAAAACGATGATACTGAGCATGAAAAAGAGCAGTATACAAGTGCTACAAAGCTGGCAGAAAACCGCTTGTAGTTTCAGCATTGAAACTAAGTTAAGAGCTAACCGATATCCATGAGTATAAGAGGAAGGAGGTTGCACTCTATCGATATCACAAGATAAATCTAGTTTTTGAGCATATGAAGAAAATATCAGGAGCAATGTGCCGCTTCGACTGCGGTGAAATTGACTTTATCTGTGAACAGTACAAGGAAATCAGAGAAGCGAGTAATGACTGGTAAAAAGGCCGACAATTGAGAATGGCTTATACTAAGGGTGAAATCTGGACAAAAACGAATCTACACTTTCGCACCCGCGGACCGGAAGATAAGAGCCGAATTCCGAGAAACAAATCACAGAAGAGGCAATAAGTACTATGCATGAACTGGTCGGTATATTGGCAGAACAAGTTGATGAGATACATTCTACGTCTGCCAACACCGTGATGACTTTGACCGCCCTGTCCTCAGAAATCAGAAGTTATGTCCGCGTGACAATCTATAATTGTTCATAAGCAGGACTATTGCTTTGATAGATATAAAGCACTAGGACCGCGCGGACTATCCTGTTTTCTGCTAAACGATATATTCCATATCACTGTAGCGCATCTGATGCATATATAAAGCTTAACATGAAAACTCGAGTTATCTTTGGAAGCCAATGGATGAGAATGACCTGTCCGCCTCTATAGGTTATAACTATGGAGGAGTAAGCGACTACAGAACGAACTTCCTGACAACAGTGGTTCTCAAGTTCCAAGAAAAAATATTCCGGAGCATTCTATATGCACTTCTATGCATTTACTAAACGCGCAGTTTGGCCTAGCATAAGAGCTTTGCAAGAGGATGGAGTCCAGTAGGATTGACAGCTGTTCCTGGATGGGGACCTCGGGACTCAGCTACTCAGCAGTTAGTGAAACTGGCAGACATGGCCCAATCCCACAGTCAGTAGTGATTGTGTTTAAGCTATGGCCTTTAGTCCATGGCTGTCTAGTTTCCGAAGTGATGAACATACCATTGCCTGGTTATATGTTCCATGACGTTCCTATTTACGATGATTGAAACTGTAGCACATAGAATCAACATACCCTTGATATACGGGTAACGGTGAACCGAAATAGGAAGCAAACAATATTTGTTATTTGAGCTGGGGGTGCAAACTGTCCTCAAATTTACAATGGAGTTTGTAAGCTAAAGGATCACAATCCCAAGCATCAACCAAAAGTCCTTAGTTTGTGACAATCATAAATTCTTCAGCGATGTGGTTTGCATTCTTGTTCCTTACTCTTGCTCATCCGATTCAATGATATAAAGTCATCAGCTGCAGTCAGCGCATTTGCAGCGTTGAGTATTTTGACAGCTCAATATGCGTATGGTTTGGCTGGGTCGCAAAGTATGGATCAAGCACTTTGGCTGATTGCAGTATCCGTGAGCACGGATACCTTTGTTGCCATGTTTTGGCCTAGACTCTCCACATGTTTTGTGAAGGTTCCATAAACCGGCGAGCTCTTGAAATAAATGATAATTTTGAACTGAAGGTCGTCAGTGTGAAAATAGCAAAGATTTTAATTCTTGTTTCTCGATAATTTCTGTAATCAAGGGTTCAGGATAAGCAATGAGCAGTGCTTCAGGACCGAAGTAGACTAGGAACGAAATATATTGGCATAACATGGTAGTAAAAAAACATAAGTAGACGTGTATTCGCATATGTAAAGTACTGTAGTGACTCTCAAATTCGCATTTAAAAAATCCGGAAAAATACAATAGCCGGGTAAAATGTCATAAAAAACACGCCTGTGTGACTAAAGAGACCATGGGTAATTGAACGTCGCACCTGAAATCGATAACTGTTTTCATGAATCTGTGACAACAATCAGTTGAAAAAGCAGCACTGCGAGGAAAAGTGAAGCGATGGAACACTCTTAATCCTAACCAAATGTGAATTTTCTGGAAGCATCCAACGCTTCCCAACAGTGACTGCCGGTACTGTCTTGCGATAGTCTGATGAATGTAGAAATCTTTTTATTCTTATAAGTCGTGTGACTTCGAACACAAACGCATTAACTAAGGGTTACAATAGTAGGATTAGGTTTGACAGGTTATTTGTGGTTCAATACAGCGAAAGGGAAGTTCTGCGGTCAGGCTTGAAATTTTGGATCATTTCATGGCCCTAATTATGACTGATGAAGGACAACGTTCATGGTCTTAGGACAGTCGCAGTAAGATTAGCTTGATGTCAATCCACAAACGGTTAAAGATGACAAAGCTTCGAGTTTTAGTGAATGTGCATCTCTTGTCTTATTCGCTTTTCTGATGAGTTAGTGAAAATGGAGAGTTTCATCTTTGTGCTGAACTTACAGTCTAAAAATTGCTTGTTGGAACATGAGCCAACAGGAGCTGCCCGACTAGTTCTAAGTGTTTGTTTTGCTAAGGTGGATATATGGCGTCTGTATTCAAGAGTAATAACTTCCGTCTTTTTACACAGTCTCTCAATGGACAACCTTCTTCTTCTCTACCATTTAGGTATTTCTTCTTCCAGCTTGGTTCAACAGCAAGTATTAGGTGCACGAAAGGTGGATTGTTTGTCCATGCCTAATTGATTAACGTAACAATGATACATTTCGAATTCGAAAGAGTGCTAACTTCAGGCTTAGGATATGGAGCTTTCTTTGTCGTTAGTACACTGCGTGAGCGCTTATTTTGAGTAAAATATCCGAGAACACTTATATTTTGTGTTGCTCGTGCTAAGAAGTAGTACATTCTACGATGTGCTAGATCCTAGATACACTCCCGTTTTACTTCATCAGTATCCAGAGTATCTTGCACACATTCCAGGTGCCTTTTGGCTGACAGATTAGGATTTCCGTGCCATTTGCACGTGGTTCTGACAGAATTTCTACCCTCTCCAGATGTTTATAGCGCAAGCAGATGATAGGCAACCTGAGCAAAGGTGGCTAGTTTGTTCACCACATAAGCAGCTTGCGCTCAAGATTGCGCACTCAGGAATAGGAATGACTTTAAAGGCTTTTATCTGTTCGGTGAACATAACGCTGCCTTTTACTTTGCGGCTTACAAACAACCGGGTCCACCCTGATGTTCAGCCCTTCATAGCCTATGATCTCTCAAAATACATGGACAGCGTGGTACAAGCCGCTTGGTGGGAACTCGTTTGAAGTCAACAACTTCCACATCTATCACCTTTTATTGCTCCTTTGTATCATCACAGGTCTAGAAGTTCGTCAGTAAACTTTGGCCTGTTAATCTAAATAAAGCGTTAAGCGGGCTCAATATGTGGCGTCAGGCGTTAGGCCGGCAAGTCTATGCTAAATTACTTGTGTTTTGAAGTTGTTTGAATAACTCTACGCTTTAATGGTGAGCATGTAACTCTAACACTAAAGATAAAAGGGCCGATAAGTTAACGTTACAGGTAACTCGGCTAGGAGAATAAGAATTTAAACGCAAGAGAAATATGCGTGAACACACAAAGTAAGCCCGCTATTAAATACAGCCTATCTCTCTGGGGGAAGATTGACTGCTTGGTCATAATTTTGGGGTTCGCATGCCAGTGGTTTACAAAAATCGATTGAAACAAACCAGAAAAATCAGCCTTACGAATGAGCTTACACTTTACTGCTTATTTCATAAATAGAGAGCACTTTTGGTTAGCCTAAAGCTTGAGCAGCATAGCCTCATCGGCACAGAAATCAGTCCAAGAACCGTTTCAATACCGCAATCCTGTGAACTACCTAGTTTAGGGTGATTGGTTGCAGCATGTGCTGTAGCGATCAAGGCTTGCTTCTCGAACATAGACGAATGCGGTTCGTCAGTTTGTTCCTGATTTCTTAATGTTGTTAGAAGCTCGCAGAAATTGCCTTCAACTCCGGCTGTTTGAGGTTCGACGCTATCATGGCCATTCGGGGATGTCGTGGCTTCATTGCGAAAGTAGTTTACGTTGATTAAGGTTTCATCCCAAGACTTATTATCAATGGCAGTCACCCTTGTCTTTCCTTGAGCAGCTGAAGTGTACGCAAGCAGTTTTCGGTGCCTACTTTGGCGTTTGCACTAGCTCATGCTACTTTTTGTCCTTTGCCAGTAACGAATAATTTGTGTAGGTTACTGACATTCGAAGGTCACCTATGTTCACCTAGGCTTTCAGATTCTGTGCGATGCCGACGTATTATTTCTTCTTCATTCTTCAACAGAATGAATGAATGTTATCCCAAGGGGCCAAAGAGTCACAAATTCTCTTCACCGTTTTAGATACATACATGATTGTCAGTTTCTTCCAATTTCTCTATATGAGTATGTTTTACAGCTTTGTTGTGGGCTGTTAGTCATAATCCGGACGCTTTAGAAACCACTCGCAATCCGAAATGATGCAAAATATATGCACTGTGACTTTG